CCCTAGACCTTTTAACAAATCCTAAGCAAATTGATGCTTACTTGGCGTTGTTACGTAAATTAAATGAATTGCCACAAGCATTATCATTATTTTTGAATTAAAAAATTTCAACAGCCTTTAAGATCTTTATAATAATGTTTTCAAGTAAAACATATTCTATTTTAAACTTAATAAAAGATGCATAGTATTGTTTAAAAATTATTCATTGGGAACTATTGAAAATTGAAAAACTTTGTAGAAATCTGATGTGCAGATAAATGAGTTTTCAAAAAATGTTTTCAATTTTATATATTAATTACATAAATTAATTGATTATAAATCTTTGTTAAGAATATGTTAAACTGTGCTTGCATTTACAATTTAGGGCTCCTGACTACAGTATTTTTGAACAGAAACACTGACTAAATTTTAAATAGCAATGTACAACAATGGTACTGTTGAGAATCTTGATTTGTGTAAGTACTATAAAATTTTGAGGTACCATTACTTGAGATATTTATTTAATCAATGACTCCAATTGAGTCTGTTAAAAGGGACTTGGTTTATATAAGAATAAATATATACTCAAACAAACTATTTTTCAAAATTATTTTCTACTATAATTTCATTATAATATCTTAAACATTCATATACTTTTTTTGTTTTTTTATTACTTATATAAAAGATAAAGTATATGTGTCTTTGAATTTTTTAATTTTCAATTCTCAACACTTACTCATTAATTTATTTTTGCATAATTTAAATTATTTGTCAAATATTTATTACCTTCTAATAATGATGAGATTCTGATGTAATGTAGATTGTTTTGCAACTGAAAAGAAAAAGTTTCTCAACTCTGTTTGTGTCTCTAACACATTATTTTTAAATTCATCAAAATCAAGTTCAAAGGTAACTCTTCTAAAGTCCAATGGGTCGTATTCTTTAGATATCATATCTTGAAAAAAAGAAGTGAACTTTTGAGCAAAAACATGAATACCTTCTATTGTTGACCGATTCAAAATAGAGTAGCTCAAAGAAATATTAAGAATTTCAACAATCTAAATAAAATAAATTTAATTAAAAATTGTATTTTATGCTGATTTATACATTTCATATATTTACCTTTATTATTCTTTGAGTAAATGTATGGAATTTTCCAAAAATGTGAACTTCAGAAATACGTATTGTATTTTCATGAAAAACATTTTCCATTTTTTGCTTTATTGATGTATACAGATGATGGTAACTGTTATTTAACTGTACACATTCCTAGAAAAGAGCAATGTTGCAAGCATTTTGAATGTGATTAAAATTATAACATAAAATAATTAATTAAAAAATTTCCTATTTATACCTAATTATTAAATATATCAATTATTAGAATCAATATTTTTTACCTTGATTCTAGAAATCATTTCTGGAATTGGCACATCCCAAATGTTTGTAGTATTGTAGTCAGTTAAATATGATTTACAAGATATTATAATCTGATTGGTCATCTATTTAAAAACAATTATTTTCTATGTAGAAATTGCATAATTATATATGTAATTATGGATTTTACCTTGACAAACATTGATGTTAGTATATCATTCCTGTTGAAAAATCTTGAAGTTGAAAATATATTTTGCAATGAGTACATGAGGGATGGAAGATGAATCCCTATCCTTTTTGGATTTAATCTATACAAAGGATTGATGAAAATTTCAAGTACGTTTAAATATTTCATATTATCTTGAGCTAATATCTTAACAGCCAATATACGCTTCAGAATGATCTTCCACAACTAAAACATCATTAAATAAAGTATATAGTATTAAAAAAGTCAAATAATTTGAATGATCATAATTACTTACCTCTAATAATTTTGATTTATGCGTTTCCAGAAATTCAATATATGATTGAGTTTCAGAAGAATGAAATTGCTCATTTAAAAACGAAAATTTAATGAAAATTTTTCTCCAGTACAACGATTCTGTGGCAGGACCTGATAATTCAGTTTCTCTTCGTAACTGTTGACTAACAACAAGTTCCTAATTGAAAAAAAAAAATTTATGTTATTACATGCTACTTGGACGTACCAAGAAAGTATATGGATAGAATCTTACGTTTTCTAATTGTTTAATCCATTTTTTTACTGCTAATTCTATTTCCAAAACAATATCGTATTGACTAGTCTTGTTAGAGATAGAAGTAGAGGTCAAGGCAAGTTTGGCTCGAAGACTGTCATCATCATGCACAATATTATTTTGATCAATTACAGTTTTGGTGGCTGAAATAGTTAAAACAACATTTTTATAAAGCCCTGTGTAGGAACATTTTTTCATAAAAATTATCAATGGAAAACATTTATAGATGAATTAAGTTTTTACTCACAATCAATAAAACTGCAAAAATTTCGGAAATCTTTAATTAATATCAATTCTAATTCCGACATTGTTTTTATATCTTGTATTCTTTTTACACAAAGACGTTAAAGTCGGCATGCAAAAAACCGAATATGTAGGTTAATTTATCTTGTGCAGAAAATAACATTGATGATTGTCTTTTATTGTTAGGTATACAGTAAGACTTTGAAATTCACGATCACATAGATTCTCGAAATTTGCGTTCCATGTTCAGAAACGAATCGAACTATACCATATTCTGAAAGTTGTTTTGAAATTTCAAAACGATTTTAAAGGATTTTTCTTTATTTAACTTCAAAAATTAACATATATTTTTTACGTGCTTGATTATTTGCATGATTATTTGAATAGCTAACATAAGATTTTTATTATTTACCTTAAAATTTTGCCGACTCAAGTATTTTTGAAAAATATACTTTAAAATCATATGATAGCACTATTAGCTAAAACAAATCTGGTTATTATGATTGATTGCAACACTAATATAATCACTAATTAGTGTAGACAATTTTCAAAGATATCATCACTGGCTGGCTAAGATATCAGGGTGAAAAAATGAAAGGGTAAAAAGGCGTGCGACACTTATCATCTATGTCAGAAAATTGTTTGGTGATTATTTAACAAATCGAATAATATTTTCAGTTCTACTAGAAAATGTTTCTTGCAGCCAACCTAAAGCCTAAGTGAAATAATATTCACGAAGAAAAATCACCTTTGAAAATATTGTACTTGAAACAATTTCTGTTAAAATTTGGGTCTATAGTAACATAGAAAAGAATGTACTCGTAAACATTTTTGTATGTATTGAGAGGAGTATATTATTTTTTTCGAAAATTTTTGAATTTTTCTAATTTTCTCATTCAATTTTATATACTTCGTTTAATGTCCTTCAAAATATCAGCCTGATTTATTGAAACGAAGTTGACGTAAATATCAAGCTTTTAAATCGATTCCATCTATTCATTCACGATTGAGACTAGTTATTTTTAAACCACAATTTTTCGAAATAAGAAACGTAGCTCAAAAAATATTGAAACAATCCTTTTGAAATTTTGCATATTTCTTTGTCAATCCCTTAGTGAATGAATTAAATGAAAACATTTAACATCAATACCTAAAAAAATTAATAAACCAACGATGCCATTTCGACTTTTTAATATCATATTATATTAATATGTTACTTATCTCACCGGAATTTTCACAGCTTTCAGTAAATTTTCTTGTCGATTTTCTTTAATATGAAAAGTTTAAAATGAAAAATTCTCAAAATATTCTTGAGCTTATATACTTTCATTTGCATTTATAAGAATTAAGAATAGTATTATAATACACTTACAATAAAATTCTCATAAAAAAAGAAACAATAGTTGATAATTTACAATACTCCCCTTAATTAAATACCATGAAGTACTAAAAATATTAGGTAATCATAGAATTTTACTTCGTCACTTTATAATTTATAGACTAACAACTTAAATAAAATACAACGATTAAGAGTGTGTTTTTAAGCGCAGCCTTTACGAGACCAATTGTCAGCTAACTTGCAAATATAGTTTGATTTATAAATCACCGTGAAAAATTCGAATTATATATTGGAAAAATACTAAAAATTATTTGAAAATAAAAATGTTCAATCACGTGGATTAGAACTGATTATTTAATTAATGGAGACCAAAAATACTCTAATTTTTATATTCTTTGATCGAAAATTAAATTCTTAGCTGGAACTTTCAAAATATTCAAACTGTCATTCATAAAACTTATTGTACAATATGTTTCATGCATCGAATGGTACCAAATGAAAAGTTTGAAAAAATTGTTGAACCTTCGACTTCAATCTGGACGAGTAAAATGTTTTCTTCCGAACGATCTTCAACTGCCTGCAATAAAATTAACATTGAAAATCAAAAGAATCGTAGCATGATAAATGTAAATGATTCAGCATTCTATATCTAATTTTCCACAAAGAGGACCGCGAAAACTCTTTTTAACTGTGTCAGTGTGGGTTTTAGAAACGATGAAAATATCCGGAGAAATATTAATAAAATGAAGGGTTGATTTTCGTTTAATTTTACTGGATAGAGCAACATTATAGGCGGTTCCGTGGGAGGCTCCGCCCCGACAAGTGTGGTGCATTGGCAGAGCGTTGAGAATTCCCACCAATGCTACGATTCAAGCGTTTATAGAACGAGCAGAGGAAGGGCAAGCGCCGAGAGTTAGCATGAGAATACTGAAAATCGGTGGCCGGTCACCTTGCCTCTTGGTCGCAAACAGGTCGACGTTCGCCGAGCATCAGTTGTTTCTTGTTCATTGACGCGGTCGCACCGGCTACTCGCGTCATGTCTCTCTAAAATAATTCCCACCTTTTGGGGTTTTATGCATTTATTACGATTCGTTTATTAGTTTAGCATGTGATTGTGTACGGCATGCACCGAAGTCATTTGGTGAAAGTGAATTTTTAAGTTATAACTCAAGTGCTCAGTGCTCTCCACAGGCACTATAAGAATTGGTAATTAATCATGCATCAAAATAAGGATTCAATGAATCTCATAACTGACGATCAGTTTTTATTGAGATGACCACTAAATAAAAACGTGTTGTGATAATTGTACATTCAGTGACCTAAACTAAAAACAGTGAATAGTCATTTCAATTTTTAAATAAATTTAACTACAAATATTATTTTAAGGTGAGTTAAAATATTGAATTCGTGAATACATAGTTAGTCTTATTACTGATCATTTTTACACAATGTAAGTTAGCAAACTCTTGATAACCTCTTGAATCATTTTAGATTCTGAAAAACATAATATTATTCATATATTTTCCAAACAATTTTTCATTTAATAAGTAGATTTTAGAATTGCAATGAAAAATGTATTTTAAAACATCTGTTCATGCTACTTTTCATACGAAAATCAACTTTTATCTTGTGCAATCGTCACGCTGGAAATAATAAAATTATAATTTACATTATTAACATTATTATGATATACAGTATTGTTTTTATTATAACATATTATTGACATTATTGTGGGAGAAGTGGTGAGTAATCACTTTTAATTGTAGAGGGGGCTTGGTGGCCTGCCAAAAAATGCTCCAGCGAAGAGCACCATCTCATACAGCATCTGACGATTGTATCGAATTTTTACCCAACTGAACACTAAATAAACCGCGCTCACCCTATTTTTTCCTCTGAATGGGAACCCCATTGACGTATGAATGATATGTGGTCAGCCATGAGCATTTCGATTTTCTCGCAGTAGCTTTATAAATCATGGAACAAACTTTATGAGACTTGTTTAAACATTTAGAACTATTTTGTTTCTATTCAAACGATTTAGATCAAGGCTATCAGAATTTTCCACAACTTAAAGTTTTCCAGATTTTTAACAATAATAATCTCCGATATGAGTGTCTAAAAGTCTCCAGTTTTCCAATTTAGTGCCATCCACCTGTGGTATTAAAAAAACTTGCATCCCATCTTATTAGTGCCCGTACAATACGCAGTCTTGCATCGATATCTATAAATACATAATCAAAATTAGTCCTGTCTTATCAGGAATGTCCCCAAAATCACGGTTAATTGAAGCTTTCAAATCAATTATGAGTCTTTTTGTCCTTTCATTGGATTTTTTATGTTTGCTCCTTTATAGTCTGTAATCGTTTCCTTGCAATCAAATTTACTATTCTTAACTTAACTCTGTATTACAATCAACATTACCATCATTACTATGATTATTAGAATCAATTTTAATTATTTATAATGATGACAAAATTATTTTAAAAACAATTGTCATAGACTATCTCTCAAAAATAAATAAAAAACAATCAAATTTTCTTCTCCTTCGCGTAAAAATTTTACTTTAAAAATAAAAACTGTAGACTAGACTTTTTATGGTCTTTTACTGGCTTTAACACGATTAAAAATTATTTACAATGAATATATGGGTTACTTAAACAACTCAAAAATCAATCAATGATTCATCATTATAGTATCGATCAGACTCAAACAAAATCTAAGTCATAAAGTTCAAGTTGACGGATCAACAAATGTTATTCAATTTTTGGAAAAAAATGTTTCTCTCTTTTTCCATAACGTTGTTAAAATCCGAAAATGTTTATTTTTTACACAGATACAACCATTTATGTGAACCTTTTTTGTATACTTTGCGTGTTAAATTTTTTCTACTTTTTTCTAGCGTTTTACGTTTTTCAAAATTGCACCTCACTTTTCGTAACTTTCAGAGCGAACTGGGGAAGCTACTGCACCAGGGTCACCTAAATTTCTTCAGAACACGAATGGTTATGACCAGGATGTCGGGCAAGGTGATTGGACCCGTAGTGTACTCTGCATTCACTAAAGCATCATTTTTTTTAATTTAAGTTGTTTTTTTTTTGTTATCTCCGTCATGAATCTTCTGATTGAAAGCTACCTGTGGCTCCAATCACCTCGTCCAAGGTCCTGGCTATAATCATTCATGTTTTGAAGAAGTGTATGCGACCCTGGTGCTGTAGCTGCAAAAATGCAAAAGACAAAAAATGTAACACCAAAGTATAAGATAAAGGCTCCCCGAAATTGCTGTATCTCAATATCAAATCATTTTTTTTGAAATTTTAAAACATTTTATGGAAAGAGAAAGAAAAATTCTTTAAATAAATTTCTTTTTTTTTTGTTAAGCTCCCTTAAAGTTTTTAACCCTTAGAAATAAAATCTACATTAGTTATTCAAATGCGTCATGAAAAATATTAATTACTAAAAAGATTATTATAATCAAATCAATAAATCTTTATCGTGTAACTAATAAATAAGTAGCTCTTTGTTATGCACATGTACATTCGTTATCATTTATTTTATAGTCACGAATTATCTTTTTGTAATTATAGTAGAGTACCTTGTATTTTTTGCCTTTAAAGAAATTTTTATACATTGAATGTTTGATTGAAACAAAATTATTGTTCCAGTTAGCATAGAAGTTGTTATTGGATAATTGACAAAACATTATAATTTCAATGGAACTGAAAAGGCGTAAGAAAAATTCATTTGAAAGTTACAATCAACTGTTATGTTAGATATAGACGAATACAAGTTAAACATAAATCTCAAAATTGTACCCATTCCAGGGTGTGAAATAATTTTTTTTATTCAATTCAAAAATAAACTTTTTGTAAAAAACATATCTATTCTAAATGTATCTGTGAGTTTCAGTGCTAATTTAATTATATGAACGAGAGAACCCCAAAGAAAAACGTTTTTTTATTAAATTTTGTTATATCAAAAAATAAAGCTTTCAAAGATGGTATTTTCATATCCTGATAAAGAGCTGACCTGCATGTAACTCGTATAATGGCGTAACTAATTATTCGTTTTTTTTCAATTCAACACAAAACTGTGATAAGTATGCAATGAGATTCTCGTGAGACTCACTCTATCTGACTTATTTTACCAATTTTCAACTCGACATGAAACTTACTCAGGAGTGGAGTGAGTTTCATCTGAAGCTGTTTCGCCAGAATTGAAAACAATGAGGTTCATTGGTAACTTGAAAGTTTAAAAAATGGAAATTTTTATTTTACTGCTCCTTTGATTTAGAAATACCCAAAGTATTAACCTACTATGATGAGCACGAATTTTATAATACATCGTGCTGTAAAGAATTACTGGTTATCCTGATAGGGTGGTAATAGTAATTTTCGATACAAGTGCCATAAGTAACACTTTTTGGCACGGCGTAGTTTAGGGCCCGAGCGCAGCGAGGGTCCTAATAGCTGGGCCGAAAAGTGTCCCCTATGGCCCGAGTATCGAACAACGTTTTATAGTACTGTGCAAAGTTCACATTTATGCCCCCTTTTCCGATGCATAAGTCGCACTTTCTGGTAGCGCGAAGTGAGGTTAGCGCACGAGCGTATGCGAGTGTGATGCGAACGCAGCGGTGCCAGAATGTGCGACTTATGCCACCGAAAAGCGTGCCATAGATGTGAACTTATGCCACGCAGTGCTATAATAGTTCATTACGCCACTGGAACCATATGTCGTCGATTATTTTCGGAAATTACCAGTTTTCTTTACGCTTCGAATAAAATGAATAAAAAATATGCCAGAAAAATTTTAAAAAACCTTTTATAAATTAAATAACTAGTATGCAACCCGTGCCCAGCTTTTTGCGCACAGTGGGCGGAAAAAACCCACTCGTACCGGCTGGCCGACACTCGTGTCTTTTTCCGCTCACTCGTGCCCAAAACGCCTTTTGGGCAATTGTTGCATAAATAACTATTTCAATCTTGCACTCTTGTATAACTTCCCGACTCAATAAAGCAATTTACTGATATGCGTCGAGTTGGCACCTACTTTTTTGAAACCAGACTCCTATAATACAAATAGGAGTTTGATTTGGTTCCTGCCCTCTGTTAGATAATTTTCTCTATAACCCGTACCGTCACTTGATTAACATACTTGGCTATGCTAGTAATGTTTTGAGGGTGAAAAATACGAAAAATTTAATGTCAAATAAGTTCATCAATTGACCTTATGTTGGAATTAATATGCAAAAACATATTTTCTCGCAATCCTAACTCTAATTTTTATATTTCTTTATTGGACCAAAATATAAAGATTTGGGTTCCATGCGTTACTTCTTACAAGATGCCTTATTACAATATAAACTATTGAAATTACGAAATATAAGATTTACTATTCTCTCGTTTTAATAGAGGTGACTCCATTTGCGTTTGTGCCTGCCTATTTTATTATTTAATTTGTTAAATTTATTAAATAGTTTGGAATGATGTTTTGCAGATGAATCAACAATGCAAAGTTTGTGGTGAACCAGCAGCAGGATTTCATTTCGGAGCTTTTACCTGCGAAGGTTGTAAGGTAAAAAAACTATAATTATATAATCTACTGACTGATTTACACAAGATGCGTGCGTCCTCTTTAGAAGAAAAATAATCCATAGATATAAACTTTTAAAGATAAAAGCGGGATGGATTAAATTTAATTTTTCAGCTCTTTTACTATATTATTCTAATTTTGGAGAGGGGAGAGGGAAAGGGGAGGGGAAGTCACGCGAAATTAATTTTTTACCAGTCTAACTTAAAATATGCAACTTTGCCGCTAATTTTAGGCTTTCTCTGAAAAAAATAGTACTATCAACTGGGGTAAATATGGCTCTCCCGTTTTTCTAAAGAAAGTACATAACCGCACCCATTCAGGAATATACTATTTTCATGCTACCCCAGCTGAAATGAACTGCCTTCAGCCTTGCAGCCAAAACGAAAAAGCTAATTTTTACTGAGGGATTAATGAAATAGTACATTACGCACCGGGAGCGTAGCAAGGGTATACTTTTCTTCACAGCGTATAAAAATTCGCTTTTAAGATCACCTACCGTGTAGGAAAGTTGCACTTTCTCCACGCAGTGATGAAAAATAGTAAACGCACCTTTGAAGCGAAAAAATAAAGCCTCTGAGCTTTTATTAGCCTCACCTCTGCCTCGGCCAATATTTACTCGTGCTTTGAGGCTTTTCGATCCTTCAGTCTCTAACACGTAATCTATTTTAAATCGACGTAATATTGATACAAAAGCCTTTTATATAACCCGCGTTGAAATCTGTATTATTAATCTCAACCTGGAAAGAAGTAAAGTTTTCAATATTCCAAATAAGTACATATTTTGCGATATTTCAATTCTTTGTGTCCATAATTCGCATTGATTGGAATAATTTATGCGAAAAATTGTATACATGAAAGATTCAAAGTATTATTTTTATCCCATATTAAAAAAATTGTTTAAAGAGACCATCATCTAGAAATTTCATCTCACCGTTTTCAAAAAATTATGAATTTTCCATTTATATTTTATGTGAAAGTAATAGTTATAGTCTATTTTGCGTTGCCTCTATTGTGCGATGTCATCATGAGCGATGATGACACAGGACAGGGCTGGAAAGTATCTACAAATGAGACATCGATTATATGTTGCATTTTTAGGCCTCGTAGCCATCGAAAATAATATACTTAAACACTGAGAGTAATGCATTCTTATATTCTCACAAGAGTATTACGATGCATTGTTATATCGTTGGTGACTCCAAAAAAATAATCCTTAAAAGCGGGCGACGAAAAAAATCCATTTCAGAATAAGTGATTTTGAACAAAATTTACTCATTACTTTTACAAAAAATTTTTCTGAATTGGCATTTTCTTTGTAGCATATTTTGCGACAGTATTTAATCCACTTTTGTGAATGCGTCTTATGTTGCGACGAACAATTTTTGTGATTAAATTCACGTCGATTATTGAAACAATTCTAATTACATAGTCCATAAACATGTTTTAAAACTGCCCTCTCCAAAAAATATTGTAAATATTTTATTGAAAAATCATTGCGAATTTCTTCACTGTAGGATTTTCAGATAAACATTTAAGGCCAAAAAATAGATTTCGAAAACGCACATCTTTAAAAAACTAATCATCACGTTTAAATATAAACTTTTCACTGTATGAAAGAATAAATATTTGATTTTGGAATTTTAGCTTTAGGGTTTTCTGATAAACAGTCACTATAATTTCTTTGGCATAAATAACTGATAGCTTTTCACACGAATACAATGGATTTATTTTGAATTTTGAGGTTGAACAATAACAATTTGAAAATGTGCATTTTTGTTACAGTCTTTTTTCGGGAGAACATACAACAACCTTGGAAGCATTTCGGAATGTAAAAATGGTGGCATATGTGTTATTAATAAAAAAAACCGCACCGCATGTAAGGCTTGTCGTTTGAGAAAGTGTCTTATGGTCGGTATGTCCAAATCGGGTTCAAGATACGGACGCCGTTCTAATTGGTTTAAAATTCACTGCCTACTACAAGAACAATCGAATAATAGTCAATCGACGAGTAATCTAAATACGGGGCCATTCAACGCCAACTTTCTGCCGAGCTACCTTCCAGGTTTGCAGTCACCAACACAGCAATGTTTACTTTACGGTGGAGGCAAAGAGAGCTCTGAGCAAAGTTCACAAAGTCAAGAAGAGCAAGCGTTACAGTCTCATTTATTTCATATTGCAATGATACAGAAGCAAAGTCAACAGCAAAATTGTGAATCAATTAAAGTGCAGGCACCCGAGGAACTTACTCTTCAAAACCAACTCAAACTTTTAGGTTGGCAAAAAGAAGAAGATCGACCAGTCGGACCATTGATCAATACTTCACATCACAATAGCAATAGTACACCACCTTCAAGTATGTCTTACAAGGAATTCGTAACAAGTACAAGTGTTTTTTCTTTGTCGGGTGCGAATTTTGGACAAAGTGAATCGCCTCTCGAGATATTTAGACCTTTACCATTTTTGCCAGTATATAAACGTGCTACGGAAACACCCAGTGACAGTGGAGCTTCTTCGGCCGAAAGCGAAGAACAAGATAGTAAAGCTAAAACAACCGATAGACAAATTCGTGAACATGATAATACTTCGGAACCGAGATCTGCATTTCCCCCCAGGAAAATAAATGCCACTGTGACTTTAACGACTTCTGAATTTTTAACACAACACGATCGAGAATTCGTATACCCGTTGTCCGAATTGGTGACCCCAGCAACTAAGCATCACTCGCTTCGAGGTGGAGACCTGATACCTGCATCGCCAAATCCAGGTGGTCTCGCTGTAGAGCAAGTTGAGCCTATTGATTTAAGTGTTCGACCGCTCAAGCCTTGCCATGGATCTAGTAAACCTGAAATCAATGAGAAAACTAATGCTGAAGTCCGAAACAATTCCAGTCCTAATGATCTTGAACTCGATAGTGAAACTATTGCTAATAGTGATTCTGTCACAGTCAAAAGTAATCCACTTGACCTCAGTCTTGACATAAAAAGACCAACGAAAGTGTCTCTTTGAAAAATTGATCACTGTTTCAACCAAAAACTCAAATCACTAAACACCATTCAGAATTGATTGTTTTATAAAATATTTAGAAAAAAGGGTGGTCTATAATTTTTCAGGTCCTTTCAAGGTATTACAAAACATCGAGATACATACAATTGTTTTTCGATGAACTCTCCGAATCCTGCACTTCTTAGAATATTTTTTTTAATTTATGAAAATCTTTCATAGGAGATTTACATTCAATTGTCTTTTCATTAAAAAAGTATTAACTCACGTTATCGACAAATTACAACTTGAAGAGTCTGGAAAATTTAGGCTGGAAAACGTTGTGGAATTAAAAATATTATTTCCATGGCGTCCCTTTAAATACCAAATTACGATTTGATATTATCGTAATTAATATTGGATTAATAATTAAAAATTGAAACATACCAAGATTAAAGTTTGAGTTTATACATAAAATGTAGCCAAGAATAGAATCTGCTACCGTAATTAGTCACAGAATCTACGAAAGCATGTTGATAAGTACCCTTGTTCATATATGACTGTCAAAAAATAACGTAGAAAGATTGAAAGGACATTAGAAGCGCCAAAAAAGTACCATTAAATACACATTTTTATGACAAGAGTGTAAACAAAATTACTTGATCAAGTTCGAACAATCCTTTCGTCTTAAATTGGCTTTACATCATAAAGCTATGCTAAATTAGTTTTCAATTAGAACACATGTGGTGATAGCGTGCAATTGAACTGTCAATGTGAAAAGCTCTGATTAAACTTTTTATTTCAAATTTCATTACATCATCATTTATTAATTTTCTAATCGATCTAATAATCTTTGAAAGGCTAAACACCTTTTGGTAAAGTCAAGTACATTTTTAATTTATGCGATACTGTTAGCTATAAATATTATTATTTATAAAAATCATAATATTTCAACAACTTAAACGCTGCAACTAGTTATCATAATTATTGCATGAGTAAAAAATTATTATTGGGATTGGTGCAATAATTTTATTCCAATGAAATTTCAATTTTATTCGGTTTTCTTAATACAACAGAAATATTAGTATATTGCACTATATATCTTTATGGTACTGAATGTTATAATCATCACAAAAAGTTAGTTTACTGTTGTTAAAAATTAAATTCTCTTTGTATTTTCCAAATTTTTAATTATTGATCAATATAATATTCGTTAGAAGAAGAAATCATTTCAAAATAGTTAAACATCATTGATTTATTTTATTTTATGGTGATTCGAACGTGAAAAAGGGCGTAAGTGAGTTCACTTGTATTATATTCATTTACAACTTCATGCTTTAAAGGGCTAATAGGCATCATTAATCGAAACTATTTTTATTCAATTTTTGGAAAGAATTTTACTCTATGAACATTGCATTTTTTTTTAAATTAAAAATTTTGATTTTTAACTTTGGTGCCATCAATTTTTTTAGTCTTTTTGTTATGCTTTTCGGATTTAATTTTTTTTCTTTCGCGTTTCCTGGTGAGTCGTGTTTTTGATCGTAACTTTCAGAGCATACCGATTGAGTGACAGCGCCCAGATAGCGTACATGTTTTCAGTAAATCAATGTTTCCATACGCAAACCTCAGACGAACCGATCGTGTTCATAGCTTGTCCTGCACAAACACTTAAGCACTTTTTTCGCCTTACGTTACTTTTCGCAAGTACTATTTGTTATATATAACTACTCGTTAAAAGCGTCCTAATAATCCGATTACCCCCGATTGGTGTTCTAAAGAAGTTACATTACTTGGGAAAAACATTAGAGTTTTAACAAATGCAATGGAAAGGGAAAGAAAAATTTTCTCCAAAAATCCAAATGTGCCTATGAGACCTTGAATTATACTTCATCTTTCGAAGTAAACTTTCATCTGATTATTTTTAATAATTTATTTTTATAAATATAAATGTCAATTGAGCAAACTAAAAAAAATATTCATGTTCATGTGTACATCATTTTGCATTAGTATCACTGAATGCTGTTATCTAAGAGTTAGTTATTCCATTTAAAGTATTATAATGATTCGAAGTTTTTTAAATGCATGGAAAAAATAATACAATTCTAATTTTGTATATTTTTTAAAGGAACAATGTAAATAATAGTTCGATATAGATAATATTAAAAAGTATACTTTTTTCAAAAAACAACATTTTTTTATCTTAATAATAATCTCAATTTTATCGAGTGTAAAGTGCTGTAGAAACCAAAATTTTGTATAGTTCATTAACAACTTTAAAACATTATTAGCTTAATAATTTTCTTAAAACTTTTATTTAAATTTTACTTAATTCGTTTTATACTTTAAGAATATATTAATTTTGATTGAATACATGAAAAAGTATTTTTAGCAATGCAGTCGTATTTCGTTCAGCAAAAATTTTTTAATTCAATATTTAATATTATTGATGAATTTATGAAAAATGTAATACATATTACCGGTCAGAGCTTCAGACGATTTCATGAAGTTGAAATATGAATAACTTGTAACTAATATCCATTACATTTTGATGCATGTTATCCTTTTAATGCATGTTTCTTATGAACTTTTTAATTTTGATGCATTTATTGTGTTAAGCAAAATTAAAATCACTTGGATTATTATCAAATTATAAGCTGAAATTCTTTCAAGTTATAGTTTACGAACAACTTTTAAAATTTTCCTTTTTCAAGCAATAGCACAAAAAAATTCATATTAAAAAGGTTTATATATTAAATCTTTCAGCAAAACGGATCTACTTAATTTATCATTAGTCAATGAAAAAAAAGCATTCTCTAAACCTAATGCAACAAGTACACATGTGGATGAAACTTTAACTGCATTAATATGTTGTTTTGATGGTACTATTTTTTCTTACAAAAATGACTCAAATTCTTGCACTTTTTTTAACTAGTCAATTTAATAATAAAATATAAATTAAAATTTTTCAAGTGCCAAGAAAATGATGTTTTACTCAAATGAGGGTCGTTAATTAGAGTTTTAAAATTTGCAATTTTATTTGTTCTGCTTTTTCATGAAAATATTGAATCTGAAACTTGTCATACTTTTAAACAAAGCCTTGCCAAATATCGGCTTGAATTTCACTTTACTGGCTCAAAAATAATTCAAGATCATACTGTAAGGCATTTCAAATTGTAAATCAGATTAAAAATGAAAAATATTGTAACACAATGGGGTTATTATTGTCAAATAAATATTGTAGTTTCTGGGTTACTAGAGACAAAATTTACATTGAGAAAAATTAATTACATAATTTAGGGAATTCGGAATTCAGACAAAACTTAACATTTAATCAAAATTTTCTACATAAGTTGTAAGAAGAAATGAATAAATCAAATGCAAATATTGATTACTTCCAAAATATAATTTACTTGCAATTCAAAAACCTGAGTATTTTTCGAATAATTAATTATATTCAAACGACATGGCTGGAAAATCATTCTTAAAGAATAAAATGTCACTTACCACAAAGCTAATAATAATCATATGTAGAAATTTTTAATGATGTTTTAAAAGAAAATTTATACATGTATTTTGAAATAAGCTCACTCAGTATATTTCTGAGGTACTTTTTTTACAGTACGATCTCCACTTTTTTATTTCTCTACAGTCACGTGTACTATATGTAAGCATATAAAATTTACGAAAAAAGTGGTGTGCATCAATTAAGAAACTAAATGTGCTATACTGCGGTATATTTATATATAGTACGTATGACTTCTCGATAGTATGCAAACATATTTTTTTAATAAAACCTAGTATTTGTGGCATCGTCAAATGGTTATAAACATTTAATTACTTGGGTAACCAAAAATGAGAAGTTATACAACGAAAAATCTATATTTTTTATAAAATAGATACCTTCTTAATTATAAGGTTGGGGCAAAAAAATATTTTATCCCCACGTACGTAATTTTCAAAATTCAAGTAATCATACAGTCATAGTTTTAATAGTAAAATGATCGTTATTTAAATTTCAAATATTAATGTACACTAGGTTTACTTCGATTCTGCCCGGTGAAACAGTGTAGTGGAACATATAAAGCAGCGGAAATTTCGGCATTCCACTAGACAGAATCGAAGTCAACACAGTATACGTGTAAGGTATGATTATATCTCTCATAAATATTTGTTATGGCGAATGACAAAAATGTGATTTTATTAATCAAAAGGCCAGTAATCTTCAAAATATTATACACATATATATATAAATATAAATAATATATAAGCATAATGTTAAAGTAAGTGTAAATATAAACATTTATTAAATTTTATACTTGTTAAAAAGCGTCATACTATAAATTTGTAAATATTTTATGTAAAAATCAATATAATATTATTGAAAGGCGGCCAGTACTTGTAGGTATCAGAAAAGAATAAAGAAATATTTTTTTAAGCTTTGCAATAAAAGATTCGATTTAATAAAAATGATCACTTCTAACTACATTTTCACCGTGTTGTATTACATTTTAAAAATATCTCAGAAGACGTAAGTAACAATAAATTCAAATATAAATCGATTCTTGGTCGATTTGCATTTGTTATGACTCTTTTCAGATTTTTATCATCAGATGAAGAAACTAAAAAAATTGGAACGAGGATTTCCGCTGATTTAAAAATTTGACGCACGTATCAATGATATATTGCTTAGTCAATACAAATTGCACACTTTCGAAAAAATCCAAAATCTTTTTTTTTAGTTTGAAAGGTACAACTATTTCTTACGACGTGATTTCATGACGAGTCTTCAAAAACACCTGCGCGCCAAGTCGATTTCATTACATTTATATAAATATTTTTAAATTTTCTGTGATTGATAAATCAATTAGATACATTTTTCTTCTAAAGGGTAAGTTACATTCTCTAAATAAATAAAACACAAATTATACTGTCAAAAGTCGGACGAATTTTTCTTGGAAAAAATTTTGATGAAAATAAAAAGGTTCTTTCTAAAAATCAATACGTCAATTCAAAATTAGATAAAAAACGCTTGAGGGTTTATTTTTTGTTAAATAACTCGTCCCAATTAATTGAAAAATAAGTATTGAAAGATGCCAGGAGTTCACACGGATGAGTGTACCAGCAAATATTTCATTCAGTCCAATTTGGACTAGTTTGCTATTCCATTCATGTAGGTGCTTATTGTAACGGGATTAAGTATCTCTGATATTTTTTTAGCGCGTCTATGAGAGCATGGAGCACTGAAAATCGAATAATACGTTTAATAGGGTAAAATTCAAAACTTTTCATTTAAATTTTCTGCGGATAAATTGATGATTCTTTTTATAACATACTTTTTATAAAAAAAAAAACATTTAATTAAATGATTTTATGAAATTTCGAAAGTTTCATCAACGAAATAAGATAAACAATACTACATAAAAATGAATATTTTTACACTCGTAAATTTTAAGAGTTTTTTTTTGGCAAAGTTAAAAAATTAGGATATACAGCATAGTTTCGTCAAGTTACGATTGAACTTTGCATTCTTGTATATTAAACAAAAAACTGTTTCTGCTATTTTTTATCAAAAAACTCTAATATTGAACTTTTTATAGAAGTAATGAATAAATTAAACGAAGCTTTGTCGAAATAGAAAAAAATTACGTCGCATCGTTGATTAATTAGCTATCGTGCAAATTCGTCCATAAGTTATGCACGTAAGCTTGAAAATTCAGCGACATTCTTTCGATTGAACTAGTCCTGTACATCATCTCAAGACACGAATCGTAAATGCTTATGCCAGAGAAACTTTTTTCGCACGGGCACAAGCTGAGATATTTAACTATCATCAAATTCGTGTCACAGATTAAGGAAAAAAAGCAAAACCGTTTTATAAAAATGAATAAAAATTCTCCGGAAACGCTCTCAATAGCGAGCGGACGCAAAGAAATATATGAAGTAACTGCTTCCAAAAATCTGTG